CCTTCTTACCACCCTTCCCCCGTCTCCTCAGGCTTCTCCGGCTTCCAGATCGTGCCCCGATACGCGACGTTCGTGTACTTCAACTGCGCCACCGGAGACGTAAGTTGCGAAAAACACGTGTTGAATACGGTTCCCTTATCTGTCTTCCACGACGCGTGTATGTCAAATCGACTCACCTCGCGGAAGTGACACCTGACAAGTCGATAGGATGGGACCTCCGTGGCTGCATCGGGTTGAAGTCTTCGACAAGTTTACGGACAGCACAATCTGCCGAGAGGGGGCGATCAAGAGTTTTGATGAAGCGCAGTGCTCGCTCATACAATAACACACACCGTTACGCTTCTCGTGGGGCTCCATGTAGTGCTCGTCTTGGTGTCTGTAAATACTTGCTGCTGTGAACTAAACTTGTTTTTTCTGTTTCGTAAAACAACAGTGCCTCGTCAACGAGAACGAGTTCATCCGCCGCAAGACGTGCGGGTGCTCCAATCTAAACCCGGCCGAGGACAAGGGGGTGAGTGCGGCCCAACTACGTCTATGTGCGGGGTAACTGAGTGCGGGCCTAAATTGCCGAATGTGTGTGTGTGGGAGGCTTCTCATGCTTTGCATGCCTTGGCGGTTAGGCCGTAGAACACGCTTCCTCGAGAGGACGGAGCATTACTCCCACACGACTGATCACCGATGATTGCCAATCGTCCCGGAGAACAACTCGTTTCGAGGTAACTGAATGCGGCCCAACTCTGATCGTGCGTGTGTAGGGTGTGTACTGATGTACGCAGATACATGCCGTAGTCGTTCAGACCATTGGCCTCGCATGCCTACAACTGACGGGACGGAGGAGCGATGATGAGTCGGGTTTTCGCCGGCCCGGGCTGTGCACGTTTCACGAGGAGCTGGCCATCATCCTTCCCTGTGTTTGTCGTGTGTGAGCGGTGTCAAATTGCCGTGTAACTGCTGTGTTGCCGGCGTATCCGAGAGCGGGCTGTAGCTACGGTAGGCGGGGTAACTGTCGCCGTCCCAACAGAAGGGGACCTGCACAGGCATCAATCGTTCTTTGCTCGTTCGCCCCTACGCATGCATTTCAATGTTGTTGGTATCGTGGTCGGAAGGCCTGTGCAGGCTGAAGAAGCAGGATTCTCTGATCACTGAGTTCATGGGTGGCGTCGTCTTGTCGTGGTGTCTGGTTCGGTCGATCGCGTTTCTTTTTCCCAGGCTTCTGTGCCTCACCCTTGCCACACACAGTAGTTGTTTTTTTTCAGTCCTCCGACCAACGAGACGCCCTTTGTCGTTGCCCACGAACCGTTAGTAGCGCTCCATCGAAAACGTTGGCGCGTCCCCCATGCCCGCGCGCGCCTTTGCTCTTGGCGTTGGTTGGTGTGGTTTGGTCTTGACGCCCTCGCGCTCTCTCTCGCTTTTTCACTCTCTTTTCACTCTGTCTCTTCCTGCCTCGCTCCCATCTTTCTCCATCTCTCGCTTCCTCTCTCTCCCACTCTTCCTCTCTCTTGACTCTCCCCCCCCCTATCTTTCTCTCCCCTATTTCTTTCTCGCTCGGTGGCTGCATTGTGATTGGTTGACGATGACATTTCGAGACAGTCCTGCTCTCTGTGCGATGACATCCAGTCGTTCGGCAGCGTCGAGGCCCTGTACGAAACGGAGGCCAAGACCACCACGCGCCAGATCCTCATGGGTCGCAGGTGATATATATCCCTCACCTCAGAAGTGCGCAATCAATCATGTCTTCTCTCTATCATTTTGCTTTCGAATATTGAATTATTTGGTCGTACGCCCCCCATGCTTGACCCGGGGGGCGGGGGGTTGGGGGAGAAGAGGAGTGGAACACGGGAGTCACACGACCCTCCCCGCCCACAGCACCGTCAGTGTGAGACAGTTACCGCGCCATCAGGCATACCAACGAGACCATGTTTTCCGCCAGGCACAAGTACATGGTCCATCAAGCTAACGTAGCCCTGTATCGTCCCAGCCCCCACCCGCAACAATGGTTAGTAACTTCCTTCGCTAGGGACACACCAGGCGGGCGTCGTCCTGTATTGCCTCAGCCCCCTCCCGTTAACAATGGTCAACAGCTGCCTTCTGTTATTGCGCCACACACTCTCTTCGCCAGGGACACACTAGAAAGCGTCCTCCCGTGTGCTGTCCCATCCCCCCCCCCTGCCAACTACACGGCTATTGACCGCTTTCCCGTTTTTGTACCACGCACGCTCTTCGCCAGGGACAAGTACATGTTCCACCAGGCTAGCATCGTCCCGTATTGTCCCACATTTCACCCGCCAACTATTCGGTTATTGGCCGGTTTTCCCATTTTTGTACCACACACGCTCGTCGCCAGGGACAAGTACATGTTCCACCAGGCTAACGTCGTCCAGAACTCGGCGGTGCCCGGGGGGTCTCTGCTAGCGTACTGGTACCAAGAGGTCATGAAGCTCTTGTCTCAGTTCATCTCGTTCCCCGTGACGGTGAGCNGGGGGGGGGGGGGGGGGGGGGGGGGGGGGGGGGGGGGGGGGGGGGGGGGGGGGGGAGCCTGGTGACATACACCCGGCCAGCACAACAAGGAAGCAAGCGAAACTCAGTAGGTAGTCGGGTCCAAAGTGCAACAAAGGCAGTCAGTCGTTCGAATGGTGCCCTGTTACCGACACACACCCTCCTCTGATGTATTTTTTGTTTTCCCTGCTTGTGTTGGACATGTAGGCATGCGCATAATGATAAATAGTAAAGCTCCAGTGCACGTGCCCCCCCCTCCTCCCCCCCAAACATCGACGCCGCATCACCCCCATAACCGCCGTGTGTGTCGAACCAGTCCAAAAAGTTCGACGACCACTGCACGGAGTTCGGTCTCCACGAGGACCTGGATTCGTCGGAAGCTCTCCTGACGGCCACCGTGGACAACGTCTCTGGAGAGATCTCCGGTATCTCCCTCTCGGCCTCGGGCACCGCCGGGGTGATCCCCTTGACCGTGCCCAGCACTTTGACGGTACGAGAGACGAAGGGAGAGAGAGAGAGAGACAACGAGAGACAACGAGAGAGAACGAGAGAGAGAGAGCGGGGGGGGGGGGGGG